AACATTTCACGTGCTCTTGATTTTATCCCTCTGTTTATGTAGCCTAGAACTGTGTTGGCTTTTTTGGCTGTTGCTGCACACTGCTGGCTCATATTTAAATGGTGCTCCACTAGGACTCCAAGATCCCTCTCACAGTTACTATGTTGAGTAAGGCACCACCTATACTGTTATTAGTTATATTAGTTTAACTATGAGATTAAAATTATTTTCCAAATAATGTCAAACATTAAATATAATGTCAACAAACTCCTGAAAGAGAAAAAGAAAAAGTGGTATCAAAGCTAGATTATTTTTCTACAATATAGAAATGGAAAAAAGCTGACTTTAATCTGTTAAACCATAAGGAGAAAGAGGATTTCACATCCTCATTGCAGGAACCTATGAGGATAAATTCCCTCCCAATACTAGCTAATCTTACCCAATTTATTTTTGTTTCTTATACAAGTTTAATCATTGCTAACTTCATTAAACATTGATTTTTACTCTGCATTCCTCAAGTTAAGTGACTTGTGCATGTTGTATATGATGCACAGAATTTTGATTTTAGAATCTGGAATTTGTTCCTTCTTCCATTAAGCTTGGGACAGCTCCTAGTACAACTACTCCTTGTATTTCATAATGTCAAATTTGCATGTCTAGAGACTCTGACTCTATCTAGGAATACTAGTGTAGACTTTGCTCACAGATAAGGCAACCCTCTCCCCCCTTAGTTTTAATCATTTAAACTGCAGAAAAGCTCAAACAATAGCTATTATAAACTTTAGTTCGGTGAAATTTAGATTATTTTCTCATAGCCTACACAGTTTTTTTTAAGTTAGCCATTAGAATGGAAATTCTCATCAGTGTACCAAAAGAATTATCATTACAGCTATCTAATAATAGTGAAGAAACTTACCAGCAATTTTTATCAATATAACACAAACCTTTTTTATGCTTTCTTTTTAATAGTGTATTTTTTACACTCAGTAAAAATGGAGCACATCTATTCATCTCTTATAATGAAACAAAATCTTCAGTTAGCAAAATATTATATCCATGTTTATCCAGAAATCCACTGTGTTATTTTTAGGAAAGAGTGACATGAGTGCATAGATGATCAAAAGTCCCACTGAATTTGAAGGACATCATTCTCAGATATGTACAAACAGTACTGCAACATATCTAAGCGGTATTATGGTACTATTCTCAATCCCACATAATACTTCACTGGGTCTTTTCAAAACAAAACCCTGTTTTGTTTGGCAGCGCTTGGCTGATCTGAAAAATCAAGGCAGGATCTGAATTGGTTAGTACTAAGATGAGATACCAACAGAATACCAGGGTTAGACTACATTTAAAAAAAAAAAATCCTGCAAGACGATACCAGGAAACTATATGTCCATGTCCATGAAATCACTAGTAATTCAACATGATTCAAACAAAATGGTAAGCTACAATGACTCAAATCTTTGGGATGATAGAAAGCAAACTAAAAATGATATAAAGTAAATCAGATAAAAGAGAGTCCGCATTGTATGAATCAGTCAATATCTCAATATATACAAAATGTTGTGTGGTGAGAAGGGAAACAGTTAGGAAAAATATGATATACAATGTATGAAATGAAGGAAAATATATGGCAAATACCCTAGGCTAGGAAAGAGGTATCTAGATGATACCCACAAATATTAAAACTTATTCTCTGGACCTACATTGCTAGTACCAAAACACTATATTCTAAAGAGTAAGTGCGGTCCAGACAACATAATTAAAGTGATGTGGTGTAAGTTCAAGCCTTGCTGTAAAGTGGCTTAAAGGATTATATTCTATACATCTATGCCAGCCTCTAAAATGTGAAGCAGAATAATTAAGGGAAAATATTTTATTTGTAGAAAATCTATACATCACCATTTGGCCCTTAAGGACATTCACAATAAGCAATCCTGCTTTGAAAAGGCAGTGAGCAGCCACCTGAAAACAAGAATTTGCCTAAAAGGCAACTAAATAATTAGCCTCTATTATGAGAAAACTCCTCTTATGGAGCCTTTCAGAGAGGTGATCTTATTTTATGGTACTTCAGTAACAGCTCCAGTTGATCTACAGTTTCAAGTGCAAGGAAGTAGTACTTTAAGTATTCCAGTTCCAGAAATGTATCTAATTGCTGTTTTCCAAAAAGCATATCCTCTTGCATTTCTATTTGTTATTTTTTACCTCTTGGTCCTTTTTCTCTTTATGATACATGATCTCTCTTTTAGAGACCAAGAGGGAATTCTGGAGACAGGCATAATTCATATTCTGCACTATGTCATAATATCACTATTGTAGGTATTGTTATTTTATTTGTATCCCATCTTTATTATTTTTTACATATAACCCAGGGAAGCAAACATATCCAACACATTGTTCTATTTTCCCCACAACAATTACTCTCTATGTGGGTTGGGGCCACATAGAGGCCCAAAGTCTCTGACTTTTATAGCTAAGGTAGGACTTGAACTCAGTCTCCAGCTTTCTAGCCTGATGTCTTTACCCACTGTGACTAGACCAGCCTGGCTTTATTTATGACTTATATATCCAAGAAACTTTATGGCCCTGTCAATTGGCCTTGAGCTGCTGGAATTAGCAACATTTAAGATTTATAATTTATCTTCAGTAGCATTTCCACTTTGATCTCACTATTAAGCCGACAAATCCCATGTCCAGATATGTTTTCAAATAACCCAAAGTAAGCTAGGGGCTTTTATCTTCTACCTAAATTACTACTCAATTAATAACAATATTTCCAGATTTAAATTGCCAACATCAAGGATCCATAGCTGCTTGAGATTCTGGGGGGAGATTTTGGACAGAGTGGAATTTTGCAATACAGAAAAGTTAACAAAATTGATTTCATAAATGATCACGGGATCTGAAAAGTCACACCAATGCAATCCTAAGCATGCTTACTCAGAGGCTAATTTTACTTAGGCAAATAAGTTCATTCTTGTTAAGTGACAGAGATTCTATGCATCCAAAGCCCAGATGCTTTTTCGGAAAACAAAGCCAAGTAGCCTGAAAGAAAAACTAGAACAATTGGAGTAATTTTTCATTCTTCAGATTTAGCAGCTATGCGAATAGAAAGACCAACACTGACAGTATTAGGACGTTTCTCTATTTCAAAGCCAAAATTGCTACCGGGGGAATCCTTCCTCGGGCAATCCGGGGCAGGTGCAGGCTTCCCAACAAGCACCACTTAAGGGGGTGGTTCAGAGACAGGTAGAGACTAGCTAACTTCATCCCCGCCCAGGAAGGCTCCTGCCAACAGAGGCAGCAAAAGATGGGCCTTCTTCCTCACAGGCGCCCAGGGGAAAAAAACAAAAACCCACCCCACCCCGGGAAGAGCGAAGAACGGAGGACGCAGAGAAAAGGGCGCCATCGACCCATTCCCGAACTCGTAACCCGCTTTAGAATCTGAGCCCGGCCTGCGTAGCCGAGAGGGCGAGATGGGATGCAGCAGCAGCGTGGCCGCCGCCCCTTCGAGAAAAGCACCCGGCAACGGCCTTCGCTCACCTGCTGCCGCTCATGGTCCAGCGCACCAGGGGTTCCGCCGCTGCTCGGGACTCCGATGCCAGCCCTGGAATTGGCAGCAGCGGCGTCGGCGGTGTCCTAACACCGCGGCCCACTCGCCGTAGACAGCAGCGCCATTCAAACTGCGGCGCGTTGCATGCTGGGACTGGGGTATCCGGACAGGCGGGACTGTCAGCAAGACACCGCCGTTTCTCTCTCCACCTCTTTCTCCGACGTGCTCTCGCACCGCAGCCAGGTCTCGGGGCGCCGAAGCTGTTTCTGGCTCCTGTGGTTAGCGGCGTGCTTTGGCAGTACAATGGATAGCAAGAGCCTTGACCCACCCCTTTTACTCTGCGTCTCTTCTCCTCTTTCCAGGTGCTTAGAAAGCCGTAGAGAAGGCGCTTGCCTCTTGATTTCCGCCCTGTAGCTCTCTAGTCCACAGGTATATCGCTCTATCGCATTGCACGAACTGGAAGTGAATAGCTGGGCTGGCCAAAGGAGGCTCCTCGGGTGTTTTAGTAATCCTGCGGTCAGACTGGTTCGAAAGCCTTTGTAGGTCGCTGCCAATACGTGTTGCTTCTCTTCACCGTTCCCTTCCGACCTTGCAGGTTCTCAGTGTTCTCACTGAGCTACTTTGCATTTTTTTCTTTAATAGTATCACGTTGCAGCACTTGCTCAGCATAATGAGTGGATGAGTAACTCCCGTACGCTGGCAAATCCTTCCCCCCTGTCATTCCTCCAGACAGCCAATGCAGAACCCCAAATTTAGGGTGGCAGGAGAGCTCATACTGTCTCCAAAATCCAATGGGGTGGGGATGGACAGAGAGAGAGAAGATACCTGCCAAGGCTGGCTTAACAGGTTCTCATAAGTCCCTCCCTGAGACAAAGGAGGAAGAGATAGAAAGCTGGGAGATGTGAGAGGAAGCACTTGGAAGAAAGGGAAGAGGTACCTGAAAGATGTAAGCAAGATGGAGACTGGAAACTGCCACTTAGTTTTGATTTTCAAAAAGAGGAGAGTGGGGGAATAAAGTGATGGATAAGGTACAAATATGGTGTATGGAGAGCAGAAGAGCCAATAATTTGTTTTGGGGAGTTCTTGGTAAGACGAATTGATGTAAACATTTAATAATACAATATGATGTTGGTTATGTAATAGTATACATGTGATTATATGTTATAAAAATGAAATAAAAAAAACTTTATTAAAAAAAGGAGTGAACTGAGCAAACCCAAGAGAAAAGAACTGATAGCAACTGTGATGAACTTTTTAAGGGAGAGAGAAACTACAACTCAGAACCAAGAAAATATCCAGGAATTTCAAAATAAGACCAGCTTGTTCTAGATTGAGAGAGGCAATTGCTTGGGGCCAGGGGTAAGAGCGGGGATTTTCTCTTTGAAAGTGAGAGAAAGCACCAAACTATGACCCAGTAAACTTTAGGGTGTCAACAATAAAACTTCTTAAGGCTTTGATTGAAGATTGCAATCTATGGGAATCAGGAATTAGGGTTTTAGGGTAGAAATCACTTCTTTTGAAGGTATGTAAAAATTTACCCCACAATCTTAATTGAGGTTATTTTAAAATGTGATATTCTGCTACAGAGTGCTGTTTTTTTTCATCCTTTCAAGAATGGACAAACAGAGCAACTGTCCCTCTTGCAGTGGATTTGAATGACAAAGGTTATACAGACTACAATACTGAAGGTAGAATGTAACAATGTGGCTGAGAGGCCTTCATTGGTGTAGAATTGGTGCAGTGGTGGGTTCCAGATCCTGTTCCAATGGGTATGGTTGGAACGGGCCCGGTGTCGTCCACATGGGTGCATGGAGCATATGCACACACATACTCAGCGTGAGCATGCATCTTACTGTCCAGTGACGCCTCCATAAGCCTCCGCAACGTTCCAGCTGCTCGGCGGAGCGTCACACAGGTGCTGTACCCACTGTGCATGGAAGTGCTGAAAACTTTAAAGACAAGTAAGCGCGGGCGGGCAGATGGGCCCTCTGGAGCACTGTACCGGAACGGTACCCGGTGCTCCGGGCAGGCTCCCGTACACCTGTACTGGGGCGTACTGCCTGCAATCCACCTCTGAATTGGTGAAACAGTAAACAAAAATGCAGTGAAAGCAAACCAGGAGCCATGTCTGTTGCTGTGAAGAATAAGCAATCTGCCTGGGATATGACCAGAACAATATTCTGAGCTTTATCATGCATTGCAACCTCCTGCTTCTTAGCATCCCAATGTAGAACAGGCAATTCAGCAACAGGAACATTCAAAAGCTGGCGCAAACTTTATGATACATGGCTTTCCAAAGTAACAGTTTTGTTATTAGTGTTTCAGATCCTTTGCATTTTCAGCTGTCTGAGTAATGTCAGCATAGTGTTGATGTTTCTTCCTCTAATTTTAAAACCATGCTTATCCTTAGTGCAATCCAGCTATCTTCAAGATATATACTCTGTGTGAATATATGTATATGTGTGTATGTTTTTGTAGATTTTCACGGGTGTAGGTATGCTGGTCTTGCTGTATTCGGGTCTTTTCCCATGTAAGATTGAGGTTGTCTTGGCAACGTTTCGGTGAGGTCTCACCATCTTCAGGCTGGGTTTTGGGCTTAAAGCGTGATCGGAACTGTCGTCTTTCTATAAATCTTGGTGGGTGGGTGTGGAGTGCTGGCTTTGTTTCATTAAGTGGAATAATTGGTTGTGTGGTTTTAAAATTAGAGGAAGAAACATCAACACTATGCTGACATTACTCAGACAGCTGAAAATGCAAAGGATC